GGAAGGGCACAGCTGATAAGTCATCGACTTCGCTGCCCTCCTACCCTGCATGAGCCGTGCTTAGCCAGCGCAGAAATGATGCAGCCAGGAGACTCCAAAGTCAGATGGCCAAAGATTTCGTCTCCCACAATACCCACGGAGGTCCAGGCTTGAAGCTATGGGCAGAATTTGTTTATTGAGGGCCAAAAATAACAGTAACCGCATTGGAAAGAGACCTGTTTATGACTATGAGAACAACCAAGCACATTTGAACATCTGGTTTTACCACTGATAGCAAAATGCCGTACCTGACTAGCACTGGACAGAAAAACAATTCTTGTGGGTTTGAGTGACGGCCCTGCTCATCATCTTGAGAGGATCAGATGCAAAACCAACTGTCCATTCCACTGAAAAAAAGACTTCTTTGGAGAAGTATCTGCTAGCAGCCAGGAAGAACCTGAAGAAAGCTAAACTGTCCGCTGATTAAAGACACAAGGAGCATCCTGGATCTCTTAAAGAGAGCTATTCACAGACATCCTTGTTCACTGTGCCCAAGAAAAGCTATGCACTGTGAAAAGGATTCAGAAAGCCATGATGGTCAAGGAAACTGCTTAAAGTAGCTCAGAAGAACTTTTGAGAGGTGAGGTGAATAAGATAAGAAGAAGTGCATATCTTCAAGGACAGATGCTTTACTCTGAATGGCAGGGAGATACACATCTCTGTTCAAGGTTTTCAACCTTTCTTGAGTTTGTCTCCTATACGAAAGTCTCACAAAACAGCAAGTGCCGCTACTTTCCTAACCTCATCTTGACTGGTCTAGTGCAGACCTTCCCAACATACATCTCAGTTAATTTGCAGGTCTGTGGCATTCCACAGGTCAAACCATACTTGGCCTGCCTCAAGTCTCCTCCACAGAGACTATCCAGGGTTGCTAGTCCTGACAGAGGAAGATACGCTACTTCTAAGCTATAGCATCAACAAGCTGCTACTTCTTTGCCCACGATACACTTCTTTGCTGAGACTCACCGAGTAGATAGGCTGCCTTTCAGGACTGATACATCTGTCATTTGAGTTTAAAGCAGGCTTCAGCAAGTAATAACTACCAAGATAGTACTAGCTTTGAAATATGCAATAGAAGAACTTCAGACATATTACCTGATGTGATAAAGTATCTTCATGATTTGCAGAGGCTTTTATCATTGCTCTGTTAGATTCAGGTATATATGGAAAAAAAAGGTCTAGATTAGATTGCAGCATTTAAAGGGAGTTAGGCTTTTATATGAAACCTGTGGTATTTTTTCAGTCTCAGGTGCCAATGTCAAAGACTTGCAGAGCTACTGGAGATGAGACCTCTTAATAAAAGAAATACATATGCAGGTAAAAGAACTCTAATCCCTTAACTTGCTGGTGTGGCAATCGCTGCAGTTTTGTCCCAATAGACTGGTTGGGTTTTAGGAGAGACCGAGCAGGGTGCAGTCCAGCCCAGCTGAGTCTAAAGAACAAAAACCCAGATTAAGACTTAAAGATAATCAGATTTGTTGCAGTCAGAAATGGTACAAGCCACAGAAGTGCCAAACTGCTCATTTTTCAGTATGAATTCAGACAAACTGTAGTAGTTTCCTTCAAGCTGAAGTTAGAGGCTTTTAAATGAAGAAAGTCTTCAAATTAGAAAACACCATCTTCTTTACAAAGGCCCACTTCAGCTCTAAAAGAATATCCAAAATGGAAAATCCTTAGATATATTTAGGGAAGAACGGGGCATTTCACTTACCACCCTTCTTTACCAGTTTCTAGACTTCTCAGTACCACATTACCATTTCTGGATGTGTAGATTAGTTAATTCTTGGCAAGGAAATACAGTTTAAACTAGTTTAAATACAGAGGTATTATCATTGGGCTTTTTAGCCATCAACAGGTATGAATGTACAACAGCGTGCAGAAGACTACACTTGAAGATTTTGTACCTGTCATAGCTGGTAATTAACTGTATTTGGATTCAGGCAGCTTACAAAAAAGTAATACGCAGCAACTGGAGGACATCTGTATTAATCTTGTGTACTATTCCAGACCTGCCAGAATTCCAGTCCCAAAAAAATGCAGTAACTGCTGGAGATAGCAAGATGGCCTTATAATACAGACAGCAAATAATATTAAAATGTTCATTTTGCTTTCAAAACAGTAAGCTTTCTATTCGGTGGATTTTTTGTTTTGCTTTAAAGTTTGGTTTGATTAAATGATTATTTTGTCAAGATTAATCAAACTGGTCCATGGGACAATGATCAAGAAACACTCTTGCTCTGGTACCATTCCTTTTGGGGACCTTTCACTGCTGATGAACTTGTATTACTTCAAAACTGAAAGGCAAAAAGCAAGAACTTAGAAGTGCACCGTATTTTCATAAGCTTCAAGAAAATGAAATGTAACCTATGCTGAATTAGGATGTAGCATTTTCACAAAGAGGAAGCAGTTTTCTGTGTAGTTACATATACTTCTATCAGCTTCCAAAGTGGTGGTTGTGCAGATTTTTTTTTTTTGCAAGAAGCTAGAATTACTTTATGACAGTCAATACGTATCTTGAAGATGAACTGGTTTCACAGTGTTTACTCTTCATTTTTACTTCACTAGTGAGGTTCATCCCTTTAAGAAAAGGAACTCAACATTAAGAAGCAACATAAGAGTTCTCTACTTACCCTTCTGATTTCATACTAGCATCTTATGTGCATCTTCAGCAATTATCATTGATCTTCTATGAAAAGAGATGCAAAACCACAAAATCTGGGTTTGATTAAAAAAGGAGGTGAAATGCTAAATGCCAGATAACATCAGATCTTTCCTCACATACATTTTAATAATAAATTAGCCAGAGTATTTATAAGAGGTAATTTCAGATACACCCGTGTATATTTGAGGCACACTGCTAATCTGCTTATGAACTGAATTATTTCTGCATTTGAGCAATTTCATGTATTAGGCAAGCAAGTGCCATTTCCCCAGCAATATCTTCACTGGAAACTTTGAGAATTCATATTCCCTACTAGAAGGGCCATTAGCATAAAAGAAAGCATCTCTGCATTAGATATTTATCTGGACCACTTTCAGAATCTAAAATTTCCTTTCTGTTACACCACAACATATACTTCCTACTTTAGCAATTATTCCAGATGAACCATTATATAAGGCTCCCAGCTCTCTCCTCTGCCTTGGAAGAAAGTATTCTTGATTTAGCCAGTAGAAATTCAAGCAATACTTTTCAAGATAAATTAGTAACATTAATAGTTACAATTTCACTTGTACTTTGTTCCACAACTTCAGTGTTTACATAAGTGATGTTTGTTTTTTAATACTAGGGAGAATCGCCATTTTAGGTGGACATTAAATGTTGATACAATCCCCAGCCCAAGGCTGCCAACCAGTCTTCCCAAGAACGAAGTTGAAGAATCATTAAGCTGTAACAAATAGGAAAAGGAGTAAAATGCACAGAGGACAATTTATGACACTTGTCTCCAACAGCTGGCCTGATCATTCTCCATCAGCAGCCACGATCCAGCCCCCTCAAGAAGCCTATCCTTACAACCTCAGATTAGCCACTAGGCCTAGAAAGCAAGATAAGGCCTTGGGATAAGGTTTACCTTCTCTCCTACCCTGCTGACGATCAGAGCCCTTACAGTAGTATCCCACAAGAGCTGTTTGCTTACTGCAGTACAGGTTTCCCCAGTGCAGCTAGTCCATTTAATAAACCTACAATTTTAGAGCAAAAACTCAAAACACTGGCTTTACGCTCCCCTGCCATATGTTAACTAGTATTTATTGCAAATGCTACATCCTGTTAAGGAATCAGATCATAACTGTGGAAACAGACTCAGTATTTTACGTAGCTTATAATATTTAGAGTCCTGCGCATTGATTCATACCATCTGGCACGACGGCACTGAGGCTTGCTTTATGCCAAGCACAGTGCATCCAGCCCCGGCCATCACAGCCCTCTAGTGGGGATGCAGGAGGGAGATTTGATGGCCTTCATCCATCCTGGCTTGCTTTTGCTCATCTGCCTTCTGGGCTGCTCTCAACTCAGCACAACTGCTTTTCAGTCGGGCTTGGCCAGAGATGGTGTTGACAACTGCTTTTCAGTTGGGCTTGGCCAGAGATGGTGGTGTTTCTCCCTCTGCGCTGTCAAGGGAGACCTTAGAAGCAAAGAGCCATGGGGCCTTGCGAGCACTTGCAGCCCACCCAGAGATAACCCCCGCAGCCAGGGCTGCTCTGCTTTGCCAAGCCTGCCAGGGCAAAGGCACATCTCAAGGAAGAACATTATTGAGCAGGAACCCTAGGTGCCAGCTTTGGTACGCCACTTGCTTCTCTATTAGCATCTCCCATTGCAAAGGAGGAGGAACAGCTGTTTTCATCTTTTTTCCACCTCCTCTAAGGTGTAGGGGTGAGGAAAGTCACTTTTAACTACCACCCAAGTAGTGTTTAGGCACTACCAGCGTACTTCAGGACTACACTGTTGCATAGCCTGTCAGAAACCTGCTGGGATTTGTCTGCTGGCTCTGTGCCAGTCATGCTTATATTTTGGTTTTTGTTATCTATCAAAACTTTTATTGAAAGCTTTTGCCTTCAGGCTTTTTAGATAGTTGCCCAAGTCCAAGAACTGGGACGCTGGGCCTAAACCCAGATGTGGCCACACATGTACACAAATACCACTTAACGAAAAGCAAAGTTTACATCACAGAGAGTACCAGTCATGTTTCAGCTCTCTCAAGATTGATTATGATGAAGATTTCATCACATTTGCAATTTCTGTTCCCCAAGATGTCAATATCCCCTCCTCTCAAGGGATCCCTCCACCACTTCAAGGCTTATATAAAAAAAATCAAGAAAATAGTTTTGGCATTAGAGAGACCATCTTAAACAATAAAGACCACATCAGGATGCTCGACAGGACTCAAACAAAACCTACTAAGAATATCCAAAACTGCATACACACCGTAATTCTACCATATCCAAAAACTGACTCCCAAGTGTAAAGTCACAAAGACAAGAGTTTAATATTGACAAAAAAAAAAAAGCTTAAGTTAGTGGTATTTTCTTCCTTGAAATAACATACTGGTCATATGAAAGTCACTGAAGAGGTCTGCTTTTAGCTCGGAAGACTTTTACAGTTACAGCTGTATTCAAAAACCCTAATTCCAAATTTGTGATGCTAACACAAAAACTGAAAACTTAAGACCTGGGATAAAGAATAAATTCAGTTATTACGATTCTAGCAGTTACGTGAGGCCTTTCAATGTTTTTCCCATAACATGGAAAGTTCTTCGGTATCTTTCTCACCACCATTATTTCAAGATTCACAAGTTTCTTTAAAATACTAATGGGGTTAAATTGAAACCAAGCGCCATATGCTTGTAATGTCTTCTGTGAAGGTCTGAAGCCACCCTGTTTCAATTATTTGGTTATTCAGTGCAGAAAGTTAAAGATCACAGAAGGTATAACAGCTTTTAATACTCCATTAATATTATAGATTAAAAATTATTGCATAGTCTTATGCATTTCCTAAAACAGCGTTCTCTGGAAATTAAACATTTTAATATAAAAGGAGCAACTCTTTAAAACATGAATTGCTTTCACTACCTCGATCTTCTATCCTTTTTTGATTTGTCAGTACATTTGTCCATCGTTTTCTCATTGTCTCCTCTGCACTTGGGGCAATACCATTTCCCCTTTGGTTTGTAGGTGAGTCCAACACATGAAAAGTGGAACCACTCGATAGGACACTGTTCGTTATCACATCCTATCATTTCACCATAAGACACTTGGTTGCATAAGCAGTAAGTTGGTTCATTGGGATCAATTGCAAATTCTACAGGTGAAACCTCTCTCTCTTGTTTGGCTTTGGAGCGTTTTTTCTTCTTGGAAGATTTAGATCTTTTTTCTTTAGGTGGCTGATCATCGCAGTCATCAATTCCATTTGCTATATGGCACAGATCACGGCTTTCGCTGGTTCGCTGGCGACGAGGTCTACGTGAAGACCGCTCTGGCTGGCAGGACTCCATCTTTGCCTTTTCTAGAGGCTTTTCGTTCTCAGACAGATCTTGAAAACACTGAGAGTGTGTTTCCATTTGCCGGGCTCTATTCTCTACCAGTTCTAGCATCTGAGTAACTATTTGAATTTTTTCATCTCCAAGTTCTTGGCTGTTGATTAATGCACGCTGAAGATGCTGCTGCAAGCGTTTCTTCTGAACAGGATCATTTTCTGACTTGTATTTTTCATAGACATCATCTATTTCTTTTAACGCTTCTATAAAATGAAGATAATAGGAATAATTACACAAGATGGAACATAGTCAAGAAAATATAAAAATGTCTTTCTAACTGATGAGAAATAGTACAAATTTTAATTATTGTATAACCTAGTGGGCTAGATCAGATATTTTATTCAAGCTGCATGTGGTCATCAAATCAGTGTTTAAGATCACAATTTGTTGCAAGAAAAAATTAAGCTTACTTTAGCCATTGGAAAAAGAAAGAATAACCCAAGAAAGGGGACCATAGCTGCTGGAGCGTGGATAGTCCAGATCCTGCCTCCATCTGAAAAAGCAGGAATTTCTGCTGGGAGTCCTTACCACAGTAGTTCCAAAACTCTGGCCTACAAATCAAAGCAATAGCTTATTGTATCGCAGGAAGAAACTTGGAATTCGTATAATCATTATATATCATCATATATAACACTCCAAAGTTAGGACATCCAGGTCCTCTGCCTTCCTCCTCTTATTCATCTAAAGGTCTGGCACTACACTTTCAAGTACACATGGTTATAAATGGAGTATGACAACTGAAGTTACACAATAGCAAATTTACAGTCGGGATTTAAATCCACTTAAACCGCTCAAAACGCTTTTCCTATTACCAAGACAAATTACAGCAAGCTGCATTTTAAATCGAGGCTGAACTTTTCAGAACGGGTGACCTACTGTTTAGTGCATCACAGGATATTTTTAAGCAACCAGTAATGAGTGGCTCACAGTTTGATTTCTAAGCTTTTCTTCTTGTAAGTCTTGCAAAATAACTGGATGAGGTGCTGTAAACTTTGCATAAAATTTAGTTCTTAGAAGCAAGTTTAATGAACCCAAATAGGAGATTAACAAATGCCTTATAAGCCAGTCTTAGTCTCTACTCTATTGTTCTATACTGCTGGATTTTAAAATATTTTCCAGACCAAAACTTACACTAGATCTATACAGAGAAGAAATTGCTAACATGGAAGGAAATAAATTAGCAGAACTGACAGTGCAACCTGATGCACGGTGTTTCAGTACTGTTTCCCTCAGAAACAGCTTAAGGATTTTATTTGAACAGGCAAGGGAATTTATGAATGGTACTAAACTATTTACCTCTAAAGTGAGAAGATACGCAGTACAATCTGTCTCTTCCTGAAGAGTTCAGGAAGAGTTCCTCATCCTTCACAAACTGGCTTTCATTTTTAAAGAATTTGTCCGCATTGTACAGTTCTGAAATGATTCAAGCTTGTGCTAAATGGAAGCCATAGATATTATCTCAACATTGTTCACAGTGATTTTTTTTCTTCCTGATGGCATCTTGAAACAGTAGCTTAAGTGTGAACGGCCGCTTCTTACTATAAATTCAGAAACTAAGACAACAGGAGCCAACAGCATTTTGTTCTGTTCCAGACTTTCATCAGGGGAAGACAAAAATCACTACTCTGCCTGTGCAATAACTCCCTTAACTGATATTTTTTTCTCAATACTAGCATTCCAGCTACCATTAAAAACACAAGCTTTGTTTCCCTCCATCTTCAGCTGCATTGCTTCCCTGTTGCCCTCACAGGGTGGAAATCTTACTCTCTGCTCCTGAAAAAGTGTAAAGTAAGTTACTTTGTACGCTGTTCAACTAGAAAGGCATAACCAGAGTACAATATTCTGCAGCCACATTATCTTCCACTCTTTTTTTTTGTGTCGTTGGGGGGGTGGGCAGTCAGTGGGGGGAGCACTGTAGGTGCAGTTACATAGATTTCCCATATTGGGAATGCTCTGCCCAGAAGAACCCACAAGCAGTAACTGTGCGCTTTTTCACACTGCGACAGAAAACAACATTCACCCTACATTGCTTATTGCCTGGATGATGCCTGTGAAGATATGCTGAACACTTTAAATGGATCACCATCCATTAAAAAGAGGAAAGAACTTCTGGATCGACCAAGATGCAAGTTCACCAAACTCCTTCTTGGTCCCTAAGATTAGAGAAGGCATCCATATGCCCAACTAAATAGCTCTGAAGCCCCTGTTAAAAAACAAAACAAAACAAAACCACCACCACAAAAAAACCCAACATAAACTAGGGCCAAGCATTCATTACAGATAATCTGATTAAGTTTGGTGGAGTTAATAAAAGCTAAAAGGATTTCAGTCTTCCAAGCACAGGAGTGGCTTTGTCCCTCCTGCATGAACTATCACTACCTTTTAAATTAGCTGAAGTTATATAGCACTGCTTTTACATCTTCAGACTTGGGCCTAAAATATTTTTATCCAATTTTTAGTGTTTTGGGTTGGAGTTTTGTTGTTGTTGTTTAAAACAGTTGAAGGCTTTCGTAAAACTAGCAACAAACTTCTGCTTTGGCCCAGTATTGTATTAGCTGCTGGAGGAATACGTATAGGAGATACAGTCTAAATAAAAGATTGAATCTATTCGAGACAGATGCAGAGCATTGGCTGGTCACCACAGATCAGGTAAAGAGCCTGCTAGGCAGTCCAGCCTTGACCAAGAATTCAAAATGCTGCAGACAAGTCTATGCCTTTTAGACTTTAAATACACAGAAAACTTACAAAAGCCTGCTCTTATCTATATTCCTGGGTAATTAGAAAGATAACTGAAATAATTTACAATAGCTGTCTTCCGAGGTGGCCCGTTTAACCTCTGAAAGGCCTTAAGGGTCCCCTCCTGCCCACACTGAGGCAAGCCCCCCATTAGGAAGGGGGATAGGGCTCTTCTAGCTCCTACTCCACGGGACCAAGTTCGCCCCCCCCCCTCCTGCCGTGGGTCAACGCCGCTCGGCCTCTGCTGCATAGATCACGCAATAACGCTCATCAGGAGTGGATCCCATCTCACGATTAGGCGGTAGGGCGGTAATTAGAAGTAAAAGATACCGCAGCTGCGGAGCCCAAGTGTGAGGTGGAACGGATTTAACTGATATTTAACCTGCATTTCGGAAGAAGCCGTGTCTTTGGCCGAAGTGCAAGGTAACTGCCCGCTCCATGGACCCTCGCCATGACCCAGGGGAACGCTGCTAACGCTTTATGTACACCCCCCACACACCGTGCGGTGACCCTCAGCGCCCACCGGG